AAAAGCTTGGCCATCAGTCCAGGCTTCGGCGGGCCACTCTCTCTGGGACAGGAACCCAGCAGGTCTGGGGCCAACAAAGCTGAGTTGTGTCTCTGCCCCTCCCCCAGGGTCAGGCATCACAGGCTCAGGATGCTCCCAGCAGGGAGGGGGTGTCAGGGAGGGCCATACAGAGGGGCCTTGGGAGAAAAGAGGGTACCAGGCTGCCTGGCCCAGTGCCCACTGTTCCCCTCCCCACACACCCTGGCCCTGGAGCCCCTGGCCACATTCCCCATCCCAGGGACCCCCCCTAGCTGTGAGAGAAGCCCCCGTGGGAGAAGGCAGGGAGGTCTGGGGCACAGGCAGCCGCCTGGGGGAGGCAGGCCATGGGATTGACCTCGCAGGCCCCAGCATCCTGGTCCCCCCGGAAATAGACGGAATCAGGAGAATCGAAGGAAGGGTCCTGGTCAAAGAAGTTGTAGGGTCGGAGGAAGAAGCCCACACCGTTCCCCACAGTCACCGTGTTGGGAATGTCTTCTGCATGTGGGATGTGCAGGAAGCCAGCTGTCACCCAGGCCACCAAGTCCTGGCAGGGGGAGAAGAAAGATGATCCTGAGGCCTGGCTTTGCGAAGGACATGCCTGCCTCCTCCAGTAGCCCTGTGTGTACGGATTCAGCTCACTAGCCCAGGAAAAACGTGAAATCACAAAGCTTTTTTCTTTAGTGGGTTCTAAAGACTCCTAAGGAATCTGGCTTGGGAGAGGATGAAGTAGCTCATCCCTGCTTCCCTCACCTCCCCCTCGAGCCTCCCCCTCCATCCTCTCAGCTGACCTGCCCTGCAATGGTCTCGTTGTTGATGAAGTCAGTGAAGTCCACAGTGGGAGTCCAAGGGTCATTCAGATTGTAGATGCTGGTGCTGCTGGGCTCCTCTTCCTTCCGCCGGGTCACGGCCAGCTGGTACCTACAGGAGATTTGGATTAGACGCACGAGGTCATCAGCCTGTCCTACTGCCCGAAATGACAATGGAGAGGGAGCACAAAGAGGAAGTGAGCACAAAGGTCTCACAGCGTCGAGCCTCTTTATTATTCTGTCTCCACTTGTTCTCTTTCTTTCTGTCCCGAGACTTCCTGAGTGTGTCCAGTGTCTCATATTTCAAACATCAACTGACCCGTTGTTCAGATCTCAGATAGGAATGTCATCCTCGTGCATCCGTCCAGATCTGAGCCTGCGCCCTGGATGCATGTGTGCAGACATGGCCTGATTCCGATCTTAAGTCAGTTTCAGCGTGTCACCTGTCTGGGTTTTAGGGCATATTCCCTCAGATCTGTGCTCTTCTCGTACTGTTTTCTCCTCCAATTTTTATTGTGAACATTTTTAACATACAGAAAAGTTGAAAGAATGGCGTAGTGAACACCCATATACCCATGACCTAGAACCCACCTTCAAGATTTTATTATACTCGAGTTGGCACATAACTCTCCATTGATCCCTCCGTCCAGCACTTGAATACCACTAAGATTGTGGCTGCGGGAATGTGTGTGTGTGCATGATTGTGTATGTGCATGCACACCTGTGGGAGGTGGGAGCAAGTGGCTTCTGAGCAACTTGGGGCCCTTCTTATAGTCCACCTCCTCCAGCCGCTAACACCCTGCCGCTCACCTTCCCCAGCTGAAGGCTCTCTCCATGGAGCTGTTCTGGGGCAGCGGCTCCCCAGCAAAGCTGAGCATCTGGACGCGGTAGCCCCGCGGGTGACCCCACTTGTTGCTGTGGTTGCTGGCCAGGTACACGTAGCGGGGTGGGGTGCCTCCCAGGGGGAAGGCGGCCTGCTCCTCAGTCTCCAGCAGCTTCCGGGTCACCTGCAGCCTCTGCATCTGGTGCTCGGGGCTCCAGGGTACCGCCGTGGGGACATAGGACGTGTCCTCAGCCCAGACCCAGTTCTGCAGTCCTGCCGGGGTGGGGTGGAGGTGGGCGGGAAGGAGGGCTGGTCACGCAGCTGCCCTGTCCCCTCTGGACTCTGTCCCCTCCCCTCCACTCACTGCTTCAGAGTGGGGCCAAAGAGAAACCCAGAACTGGGTGTGCCCCCTGCTCCCCTTCCCTCTCCCCAAGATATCTCCTATCCAGAGATTTGGAGAAGGTCCTGACTGATGTCATCTCTGGTAATAATCCCAGATGCCTTGTGACTGGATCTCCACTGACCTTCTCCTGCTGGGGACCTGCCAGGGAGGATGGTTTCCCTGAGGTTGGAGCAGCCTGGCTGGCAATGTGCAGGAGTCAGATTCTTCCTGACCCAAGGAAAGTGTCTACGCCTCATGTCTAAAGCCCTATAGCATCGCCGGAACTACCTTGCCATTAACATAAAAATAGTTGTACCTCCTCCTCGAGGAGCTCTGCACAGGCAGGGCACTGGTGCTTTACTTGAACTACAACCTTATGAAGGAGGAATGACAATTGCCCCCATTGTATAGATGGGACAACTGAGGCTTAGAGATTTAAAGAATGTGCTCTAGTTTGTCATCAAGGGCATGTGGTTAGTATCATGGTAGTGCTGGGGACCCCTGTCTTACTCTGGCTCTGCATTGTCCACACAGCAGCACACAGAGGAAAGCAACATAGAATGGTCCCACCACACATGGATGGCAGAAATGCTGGCCAGAGGGAAGGAAAATCAGACCCCGGGCCCAAATGCTGCTGGAGCTTGGGGGTATTTCTTATCATTTGAGGCTTGGCAAGGAATTAAGAGCAGGGCCAAGTGCACAGTCTGTTTCCTGAACTCTGGGAATTTTGAATGATTTTATTAGAATCTAACTAGGTCCCATATTAGGAATCAACTTAAGTGATCTGGGACCAAAGAGCAGTAAACCAAAACATGCCGAAACTCCCTCCATACCTTCCAAGGACCAGAGGACAGCAGAGACTGACGAAGCACACTCTCGGTTTCCTTTTGTGGATTCACTGCCCCTAGTCCACACCCCAGGGTTTCTACCCAGAGGTGACAATTAAAGACCAAGAGGGGCGCCTGGGTGGCTCAGTTGGTTAAGCGTCCGACTTCAGCTCAGGTCACGATCTCATGATTTGTGAGTTCCAGCCCCACATCAGGCTCTGTGCACAGAGCCTGGAGCCTGCTTCAGATTCTGTGTCTCCCCCTCTCTCTGCCCCTCCCATGCTCATGCTCTGTCTCTCTTTGTCTCTCAATAATAAATGAACATTAAAAAAAATAAAAATAAATAAAAAGGCCAAGAGTTCTTTCTGGTACACCCACACGGGCTCATGTGGAGGACAGCAGCAGCGACGATGGCTAATACTCCTCACTCTGCGTCAGGCACCACTCAAAGTGCTTGAAGAGATATTGCTCAGGAACAGAGCTAAAGAGAGGTGTGTGTGTCGGGCAGAATACATACGTATATTTTCTAGCTAAGTCCAACGAGCGATCCTAAAAGCAATGACATCCCAGTGACAATGAGCACTCTGGGTACCCAGGTCTTGGTTTCTAAATAATATCTTCCAATTAGAAGGAACCAGAACACCTTGGAGAAGTGGTTGATTCCAGGGCTGGAGCAGGGAAAATACAAGATCAAATTCAAACATCTTGTGGGGCACCTGGGTGGCTTAGTCAGTTAAGCATCTGACTCTTGATTTTCGCCTCAGGTCACGATCTCACGGTTCACGAGTTCGAGCCCCGCGTCAGGCTCCACACAGTGCGGAGCCTGCTTGGGATTCTCTCCTTCTCTCTCTGTCCCTCTTCTGCTCACTTTTTATCTCTCTCTCTCAAAATAAAAAAATAAGCATTAAAAAAAATTTGAACATCTTGTGCCAGAAAGTAAAGAAGTGCTCAAAAAAGGTTGGAGGCACATCAAAAGAACACAGGAACCAACCTGAAGCATCTCCCAATGGCCAAAACTGGAACAGTTCAAGGAACAAAATAAACGATAGTACTGGGTTATAACCCTTAGACTAAAATAAATATCCATGAATGGATGCAGTTGTGAATAATTACATATATAAATACATGTAAAAGGAGGATAGCCCTTCCTTATGAAGAATTCTAATTAATAAATGAATAAAGAATAAGGAAAAAAATTTGAAATGACCAGTAGGGTAACACTGCAGTAATAATTGTGGCATAAAAAAAAGTCCACCAATAGATGCTAAAAATTAGTGGGCAAGAATTTGAGAAGAAAAAAAAATAGGATATTCACATGGCATCAAAGTAATTGCCCCAAGATATTTATTAACAGGAAATGGAAAAATATTAACTTTTACAATGGAGAAAGCTAGAAGACACCATCGTAACTAAGTGCTTGAGGTCAGCATCACTATATCTCTTGATATGATGGACTGAGAAGGGCATAATGTCATTTCTCTTGTTTTCTTGCAAAAAAAAAAAAGTACAGTCTCAATCTAACCATGAGAAAATAACAGAGAACCCCACTTTGAGAGATATCGTGCAAAATAATGACCAATATCTTCCCTAGTGTGAAGGTCATGAAAGACAAAAAAAAGCCTAAGAGACTGTCACGGGTTGGAGGAAACTAAGGAGATAAGTCATGTAAATGCAGTGCAGCATCCTGCATTAGATCCTGGAACAGAAAAAGAAAATTAGTGGAAGAACAAATGAAACCCTAATAAGGTCTGTAGTTTAGTTAATAGTATTGTAATAATGTTAATTTCCTGGTTTGATGGCCATACTGTGGTTATGTAAGATGTTAACATGTAAGGAGCTGGGTGAAGGGTATATGGGAACTGGACGAAGTTTGCAACTTTTCTTAAGTCTAAAATTATTTCAGAAGATAAAGTGTTTTGGAGGCGCCTTGCTGGGTCTGTCAGAAGAGCATGTGACTCTCGATCTCAGGGTTGTGAGTTCGAGTCCCATGTTGGGTATAAGGATTACTTAAATGAATGAATGCATGGATAAGTTTTTTTTTAAGAGACAGTGTTTTAAAGTACTCATCATTAATCCTCAGTCTTACTAAGAATGGACTGTTATACCATTTTTACACTTGTGTAAACCGATGTATAGAGCAGTTAAGCATAAAAATGTTCCTATCACACATATTTTTCAAGGTGCTGCACACGCTCTCCACTCCCCCATTAGAATGCAAGCCTCTTAAGAGCAAGGATGTTGTTTCTTTTGTTAAATTGCATTAATGCCGTGCTTGGCACAAATACGCATTCAGTAAATATTTGTTGCTTACATGAGTGATACGCTGTTATGTGAAAAAACAGATGTGGCAAAATATATGTACATTATGACCCAAATTTGGTAATAAAAACCTTAAATACTTATATCAATATATCCTATTTGTAGATAGTATACAATATCATAAATGTTATAATTTATTAAATATTGCAGATGCGACATTTTAAAATATGGAAGAATTTTTTTTTTAATTTTTTTAATGCTTATTTATTTTTGAGACAGAGAGAGACAGAGCATGAACGGGGGAGGGGCAGAGAGAGAGGGAGACACAGAATCGGAAGCAGGCTCCAGGCTCCGAGCCATCAGCCCAGAGCCCGACACGGGGCTTGAACTCACAGACCGCGAGATCGTGACCTGAGCTGAAGTCGGACGCTTAACCGACTGAGCCACCCAGGAGCCCCAATTTTTTTTTTAAGTATGGAAGAATGATCTGCTAAGGGTGAAAATCTCTCAGGAATCCGATGACTTTCACGTTTATTTCATACACTTTTATATTTTTCATGTTTCAGTGACAATTTTTAAAGCTAGGCATGGAGACCTCAGCCCCCTCTTCTGGAATCCTTGTTTCTGCTGGAGTATCTTACCTGCTACATCCAGATCCACCTTGAAGTGGGCGCTGTGGGTATGGACGGTGCCCAGCGTGTGCTCCCCAACCTGGTTCCCGTAACTTCGGGCAGCACCAAAGAGAAATGCTGAGCTGATGTAGCCGGTGGCATGGAGTCGGACCTCTATGGCCCCATTGGCGTGGAAGATCATATCCCACACATAGTCATAGTTGAGCATGGTTGAGACAGATCTGAGGACCAGCACTGTCTCTGCAAGGCCCCCAAAATACTGGGAGTAGATATCTGAGTGGTGTCGCCTCAAGGGGAGACCCTGGTTCTGTTCAAACACACAAATGGCATCACGTATTGTCTTAGGGGCTTGGGACTCCAGAAGGAAGTGCCAGTCCACGTAGGTGGCCAGGTAGGGGCAGTCCACCCCCCGGGTCAGGGTTGAAGAGAAGTGACCCAAGCCAAATCCACCATCTGTGTACCGGCTTCGAAGAGCAGAGGGAGAATTTCCACCATAGATGGCCAAGGCCTCCTGGAGACTGATCTCATAAGCTAGTCGTTCTCCCCGGAAGCGGATGTCAAAGATCCTTGGGCCACTGAAAGCTCCAAGGCCAAAGGAGAAAGTCCACAATGAGGAGGCCACTTGACTCCCCTGGACACTGAAGCGGGGGCCCTGGGGGTGGAACTGCAGAGGAGGACTCGGACCCCGAGGCACCTGGGACTTCAAGGACCAGGACCCACCTGTGCCGTTGTCTGGGATCAGCACCACATTCACCAGGCCGGCCTCAAACTGGTCTTCCAGCTGGGCCAAACTCTCATAGTAGCGGCCTTGAAAGAACACCTTCTGGATGGTCCAGTGGGCAGGCTCCAGAGCCTTGTGGTCTACCAGCAGCTCCAACCCCACGGGATGCAGGAAAAACCCAGCCCCTGAGATGTTGTAGTAGAGGCCAAACCAGGTGGCCCGGTCCCCTGACTGCATACCACGGGGGGCCGTGTTCATCGCCACCAGGTTCCGTCCTTGGCGTTTATAGAAACAGCAGTGGTGGAGGAGACCAGCAGCCTGGGGCAGCTCTCTGTCGAAGATCAGCTGGTCTATGTCCCGGTACTCTCGCATCAGCACGGGGCGTCGGTGATAGGGCAGGGGGCCCCCGTGACGCTCCACCGTCACATCCCGCAGGTAGGAGGGGTGCGGCAGCGGCCCCACCACCAGCTCACTCACGTTGGGCTGGGGTTGTCCGCCAAAGAAGACGATGGCCAGTGCCTCCCGGGCGGGCGGGGGACTCCCCCTGTCCAGGTGGGCCAGGGCAGCAGCCTTGGGGGGCAGCTGCAGCTCCACCGAGAAGACGCAGTTGTCCGAGGGGCGGGCCTGGGCTGCGTCCACCAGGCCTGGCCCCAGCTGCTGGGTCAGGAAGCTCATCACAGCCGTCAGCTCCTCTGGGCTCAGGTCTGCAAACAGCTGGCTCTGGCTGGGGGGTGTCCGGGGCTGGGCGCTGGGGGAGACAGAGGGGCAGCGGGGAGGCTGGCCGGGTTCATATTCCCTCTCCAATCCCTTTTCACTCCCGCCATTACCCATGCCAGTCACCAGAACACTACACAGGGACAAAACAATGAAGATAGCCATAGGTAAATCTCCTGGACTGTCCTTAGGCTCCTGAATCAGAATGCAAAATGGGAAATAGAAAGATAAAAGACGGACAGGACTTGGGAGCAGGATGCCTCTTTGAGTCTCTGGAGGTTCCTGGTCTCTGAGCAGAGCTGTTGGGCAAGAGGCATGATGGACACATTGAAGATAAGCAGCCAAGGGCAGATGGGTGGGTGGGGGTGGGGGTGAAGCTGGAGGGGGCCAGAGGTCAGGCCAAGCTTGGGAGGTGGGGCTGAGGTAGGAACCTGGACTTTAAGTGGCCCATGTAAGCCTCTGTCCCCTTGTTCCAAATCAAACACTTAGGGTCAAGGCTGGGGAACCAAGTGGGGGGAAGGGTAGGTTTTGGAGATAACACAGGTAGAATCAAGAGGAAGTAAAGGGGACAGAAAGGGACTGTCCTTGGGCTCTCCCTCCACCCTCCAGATGGAACCCTTCTCCTGGCTATAAGGCTGCAATGGAAATTCACCTGCCCAGACCGCTCCAGCCAGATTCCCCTCTTCCCTCCAGGCTCTGCTTCTCACCACTCTCTCCTGCTCCCCACCAGCTATCAACCAGAACCCTATGGGCAGGCATGGGAGTAATGCTGAGAACATAAAACACCTGGGAGGAGCTGGGGGTGGTGAAGGGCTGAACCAGATCAACATTGTGGAGGCTCCAAGCACCCTAAATCACTGGAGGTGGGGTACACAGGGTGTGCAACCAGTCAGAAGTGGGGGCAGGGAGCAGGTGCACAGTGTAACAGAGATCCCCCTGTCTCCCCTTTGAGCAGGACTGACGGGCCAGGTCAGAGGTCAGGGGACTTGGAACACTGGCTGTGGAGTTACCTTGGCAACCCATAGCCCTCAATTCCAGGAAACCTTCCTCCAAAATGTTGCAGAGGCAGAGAGCAAAGCCACCTCCATTCTCTGCCAGGTGATGTGCAAGAGGCCACCGTCACCTGGGCAGTCAGGTGCTGAGAGGAACAAGGAGAGACCGAAGGTTCCAGGGAGGGGAGATGCTTGCCTCGTGAACCTGGAGGAGAATCCTTCCCAACATGGACCTGCCCAGGAAGATTTCCCCAGAAACAGACATGAGACTGACCTTGCGGGAAGAATGCGTTCTCTGGGCAGAGAAGGGGAAAAACATGTCAGTCAAAGGAAACAGAAGGTACAAAGGTAGAGAAACTCGAAACAGCTCAGCATGGGCAGGGAACGGCCAAAAGGTCGGTGAGTTTGGTATGAGGTGGGGACAAAATGGGGGCAGAAGAGGTAAGATAAGGAAGTTTTGTGTCGCACATGTTTTTTTTTTTTTTTTGAATGTGAAATTTATTGTCAAATTGGTTTCGATACAGCATCCAGTGCTCATCCCAACAGGTGCCCTCCTCGATGCCCATCACCCACTTTGTGTGGTACATGTTTTAAGCAAGGCAGTAATTGCGGGTAGACGGTGAGGTATCCGGGAGCCTGGGAGAGTTAAACCAGGTAAATTGATAACAAAAAGGTCAGCTCATCCAGAAATATTTATACATCCAGCTGCAGTTTGGTTTTGGTTTTGGTTTTTAAAGATTTTATTTTTAAGTAATTTCCACACCCAGTGTGGGGCTTGAACTCACAGCCCCGAGATCAAGAGACGCACGTTCCACAACTGAACCACACAGGGGCCCTTCGTCCAGTTGTATTTTGATATGGAAACTCAAAGGGTTTTCCTTTCCCTTGTTCTTTAAAGAGGTAGGAGTAGGGGCGCCTGGGTGGCGTAGTCGGTTAAGCGTCCGACTTCAGCCAGGTCATGATCTCGCGGTCCGTGAGTTCGAGCCCCGCGTCAGGCTCTGGGCTGATGGCTCGGAGCCTGGAGCCTGTTTCCGATTCTGTGTCTCCCTCTCTCTCTGCCCCTCCCCCGTTCATGCTCTGTCTCTCTCTGTCCCAAAAATAAATAAAAAACGTTGAAAAAAAAATTTAAAGAGGTAGGAGTAGAGGTGCTCTCTCTAAAATGGTGAGAAAGTTGGGGTCCTCCATCCCAAAAAGTTGGGGCCCTCCATCCCCAGGGAAGCAAGCCCTTGGGGTTGGGTCCTCAAGGAAAATGGAACTGGTTTTTCTTCTTTCTTTTGTAACTTTTTTTAAACGTTTTATTTTATTTTTTGAGAGACAGGGAGAGACAGAGCTTGAGCACGGAAGGAACAGAGAGAGAGGGAGACACGGAATCCGAAGCAGGCTCCAGGCTCCGAACTCTCAGTGCAGAGCCCGATGCGGGGTTCAAACCCACAAACTGCGAGATCATGACCTGAGATGAAGTCGGACACTCAACCGACTGAGCCACCCAGGTGCCCCAGAACTCGGTTTTTCTTTCGCTGGTCTGGTTTCCATACTCTGCAGAAGCTCTTTGTGGAAGAAAGTATTTAAAAAAAAATTTTTTTTTTAAATTTTTTTTTCAACGTTTATTTATTTTTGGGACAGAGAGAGACAGAGCATGAACGGGGGAGGGGCAGAGAGAGAGGGAGACACAGAATCGGAAACAGGCTCCAGGCTCTGAGCCATCAGCCCAGGGCCTGACGCGGGGCTCGAACTCCCGGACTGCGAGATCGTGACCTGGCTGAAGTCGGACGCTTAACCGACTGTGCCACCCAGGCGCCCAAAAAATTTTTGATTTAAAAAATGTTTTGAAAACATTTTGATGAACACACACACAACAGTTGGTAAATACATGTAGAAAGCATAAAGGAGTGTGCTGTGACAAATCCACTTCCCTTTCATCCTTCAGGTCCCCTTCACAGTCCCCTCCCCAAAACAAGAGCTTTAACCAGTACCTCTTGGGTCATCTGGGCTCTTGTCAGGGCTATTGTCGGTGAGAGAAAAAGGAGAGAATAGGGCTTTTGCACAGGAGAGTGGGTGTGCCGTCAATCCCAGGGCAGGGCCCGCCTCCCAACTCTGCCCCAGCAAGGCTGGCCTCAGGGCCGCAGAAAGTGAACATGAGAGCAGTGACCACTGTCACCTGAAAACTAGTTGACCATTCCCCCCAGCCCCCACCCAAATCTCAGACTACAGGGTCTTCCCTAACCCTGAAGATGAGAACCCCCACGAGCATGCCCGTGAATGAATTTCCTGCCAACCAGGTACAAGGGCACCGAGCTTGTTATCTGATATAGAAGCATAAAGAAACATGACATTTCATACCTACCCCTGAGTGCTTGGGAGTAGAATCCACACCCAGTGCTCCCATCAACTGAGCAGTAACATAGAGACTAGGGACTGGAGAACTCGTGGTCAAGACAGAGACAACAGGATTACCACCACGAAGGCAGAAGGGGTCATTGGGAATGGGCCTGTGTGGGATAAGAGGAAACAGAACCTAATGTCAAGGCCTAAGCCCCGGCCACAAGCAGCGCGTAACCCGGGAACTCGGGTCCAGGCTCTTTGGTAAGTTATCGTCCCAGCTCCCAGCTAAGAGCACATCATTATGATGGCTCACGTTTCTTGGTCTTGACCTACCAAGCAGAAGTCAAGAATGTTCACTCCAGGGATGCCTGGATAGTCAGTCTGTTAAGGGTCCGACTTCGGCTCAGGTCATAATCCCACAGCTTGTGGGTTCAAGTCCCGCACGAGGCTCTGCGCTGACAGCTCGGAGCCTGGAACCTGCTTCAGATTCTGTGTCTCCCTCTCCCTCTGCCCCTCCCCCGCTCATGTTCTGTCTCTCTCTCTCTCAAAAATAAATAAACATTAAAAAATAAATAAAAGAATGTTGGCTCCAGTAAGGTATCACAGGGCTCTCATGTGGGGAGGTGGGTCATGACTGGGGGAGAGCCCTTTGCCTTGGCTGGTGGGGAAGCAGGTGTATAAAAGGTGCCACCCCAACCATCTTCCCTAGGTGTCTTGCTGTCACACTGTTCCCTCTGATACCTCTTCGCAATTGTCACAAAAGGTGTCCCTTTTGAAGCATTACTCCGGAGACAGGACCACGTGCCTCTCATTAGGTCTTATTTCCCTTTGAATAAACTTGACCCCTGGCCTCTGTGAATAGGATGAGTTTATTCCCTGGAGCCAGAGGCCACCCCCTGCCTGCAGGCTGAAGACTGGGCCCCAGAAAGCTGTGTCTCAGCCGGGTTGCTGCTACAGAACCCCGGGGGTCAACCCTGTGCACACAGGTCATGCTCCACGCAGGTCTGCAGTGTAGGGCGACAGCTGTGGCAACAGTGTGGAGGTGTGGAGCAGCACTGGGGTGTGGGGTGGACTCGATGAGGTCGGTGACCTCAAGGACAGAGAAAAAGGAATAAGTCTAAGATGTTGAAGAGCAGAGGTGACAGGACTGGGTGCCCAATTGGGTGTGGGTAGGCGAAGAACACAGTGTTTTAAGTGACACAAAGGTTTCCTGTGACTGGATGGGTGATGGGGCTTTTCACCAGAAAGGGCATACATGAAGAGCAGCAAGTTGTTTTTTTTTTTAATGTTTTTATTTATTTTGAGACAGAGAGAGACAGAGCGTGAACAGCGGAGGGGCAGAGAGAGAGGGACACACAGAATCCGAAGCAGGCTCCAGGCTCTGAGCCATCAGCACAGAGCCCCACGTGGGGCTCGAACTCACGAACCGTGAGGTCGTGACCTGAGCCGAAGTCGGACGCTCAACCGACTGAGCCACCCAGGCGCCCCAAAGAGCAGCAAGTTTAAGGGGGAACCAACGAGGTTGAGTTTGAGGTGCTCATGGGAAGTCCCAGCACGGAGGCTTAGAAATAGGCCAATTGGCTCTATGGGTCTGGAGCACAGGAGAGACGTTCTAGGCTAGACATAGACATTTCAGCCAACAACAGTATTAGCAGTTAAAGAGAGGCTGAGATCACCCCAGGGAGGACTTCTGGAAAGAGAAGAGAGGAGGCCCAAGATGGCATCCTGGAAAATGCCAAGGTCTGGGCCTATGTGGGCTGGTGGGGGAGCAGAGGTAAAGGAGCCAGCATATGAGACTGAGAAGCAGCATGGACAGGGAGGGGTCAGAATGTGGGGAAGTCAAGGCAGGAGTAGGTGGTGTTGTCAAATGCCACCAAAAGGTCCAGAAAGTAGGCGCCTGGAAAACCCCGTTGATTCTGCATTTAGAAGTCACTGGTGACCTTTGTCAGAGCAATGTCTGTGGCTGTGGGCCGGCAGAG